AGGAGCGGGGCGGGGGCGGAGGAGCGGGGCGGCGGGGTGGCGGCGAACCTGCACGGGGGCTCCGTGCGGTCGTCCGTGGCCCTCCCGGCTGAGCCGCCCCGGTGCGCGCTTCCCCGCAGGCTCCCGGAGCGCGCCATGTCGTACATGCTCCCACACCTACACAACGGCTGGCAGGTGGACCAGGCCATCCTGTCGGAGGAGGACCGCGTCGTCGTCATCCGGTTCGGGCACGACTGGGACCCCACCTGCATGAAGATGGACGAGGTCCTGTACAGCATAGCCGAGAAGGTACCGCCCGCCTCGTCGCGCGGAGGGTCCCGCCCGTTCGCGGGTGAGGTCGCGCTCTGCACTGCGCGGGGCCTGTCTCTGGGGCGTCTCCACATCCCGACGCGGGAGGAGGGCTTCCCCGCGCCCCCCATGAGTTGGTTATTTATGTCGACCGGGTGTTGCCAAACTTAGGGGCAGAGAACAAAGTGCGCTGAAGCTTACGCTAGTACCTTAGTTTAAAAGGATCTTTCTTTTTGATACCTTGTTTATTTGTTGTATTTATAAAGCAGAATTGTTATGTTGATAGCATAGTAGATCCTGTTCTTCTTTTGGTGGTGTTTTTTCCCCCATTATCCCATTATAGTCTTTGTAAGTCATGTGCTTTACAGCTTAGAATGGTTCAAACACAGAAAAACATCAGGAGAAAGCAGTTTGTCGGAACTAGTTTTACTAATTTTTAATGCTAACACGCTGGGTGGTCTGTGGCACTTGTACGCTGACAATAAAAGTGCAGTTGTAGGCAGTATTGTACAACCAGGATCCGGTTCTTTTTTTTATGACTTTCTTATGGCAGTTTTAGGATACTTTTATTTGCAATTGTAGCAATAAGGCAAAAGCCAAAAATATTAATACGTTAATAAAATGTTTACCATATTAGTATTCCGTAAGTAATTTGAAAGGTCTCATTTTAATGAAGAGCGAAAGTAATAGAAACATTGAAGCCGATTTTTCTTTCACAGATGCTAATATAGACTGGGTCAAAATGGTTCTTTTGAGTAAATAGTAACAGACGTAAGGATGTATCTTATATTTAGGAAAGGAAAAAAGTGTCCGACCTGCCGTTCGTTAATTTTTAGCCTCTCCTATTTAATGGACGAGGCAGAGTGATAGGGACTGTTCTTTTATATATTTTAGTTGTCGCAAGCATTTCTTGGAGTGTTACTAAAACGCATCTGTTGGTCTGGGGAGTGGTCCAGAAACAGCTTTTTAAAGAAGCCACCCAGGGTGGGCCACACTTCTGGAAACCCCTTAGTGGAGATCAGGGTTGGAGTGTAGTGCTTTGACTATCAGTCATTTCCCAGCCTCTTCCTCTTTGACGCCAAAACAGTGAGAACTTCAGGAGAGCAGCAGTTCTTGCTCATTCTGTGGGTCCGGCCAGCCAGCGGTCAGAGGTAACGAGTGAGGTAGTGCCAGGGGATCAGTTTGGCATTGCTTAAGCTGCAGTGGACAAGGGCAGATAGTGCTGAACTTCAGGGGAGAATGGACTTAAAACAACTTTCTGCTAAGCAGATCACTGCTGTGTTGACTTTGAAATAACTTGGGATAAGGGTTCTTCAGCCTTTCACTGTTCTACCTTGCAGGTAGGTGGTGGCATAAACATCAGGTGGTCAGATCCTGCTGCCCTGGGTCAAGACTAGGATGGCTAGAGATGTGAAGGCCTTTGGCTCTTCATGGCAGAGCAAAGCTAGGGAAAAGATTTTGTATGTGTTACTGTAAGTGTTTAGGGACTTTACCGGATTTCTTCTCTTCTTTTCTAACTCCTTTATGTAAGTTACAGACTGAGTCAGTGTTGTTACTATTGGACACACACTTCATTTGGTGTTGAATCTGTTGATAAGGACAGTTTATTTTTATTTATTTATTTATTTATTTTTAAAGATGACCGGTAAGGGGATCTTAACCCTTGACTTGGTGTTGTCAGCACCATGCTCACCCAGTGAGCTAATCGGCCATCCCTATATGGGATCCGAACCCGTAGCCTTGGTGTTATCAGCACCACACTCTCCCGAGTGAGCCACAGGCCTGCCCGATAAGGACAGTTTAATGGGGCTCACTTTTGAATATTTTTCTTCAGTCTGTTAATTTACTTTTTTTCTTTTGTTCAAAAATTTGGATTACTCTTTTAATAAGCTTTTAATTCTGTATTATAGTTATTAAAAATAGAAACTTGAAATGCCTTAAAAAACTATTAATGTGTTTTTTTTCTTAGTGTGAGGGCAAAATATGAATTATTAGTCCTGGCAGCCCTTTTTGGGAAAGCACAACAGGATTTTTGAAATTTAAGGTTTTAGGATAAAGAACAGTATGACTCTTATTTAAAAATCTCCCTCTGCAGAAATGACAATGGGGGATCTTCCTCATCTTGTTACAAGCCCTGTTTGGATTATCCAGCTGTTTTAAAGTGAGTGAAAGTTCCAAATGTTCAGGCTGGACTTGATTATACTGTTTCTCCTAAAATGTCTTTTATTGACTTGTAGCTCCTACAGTACCTACCCCACCTCACGCTGGATTAGTTTTGAGCTATATATTAAATGAAGAAAGTCTGGAAAAATAGAGATGTGCTTAAAGATTTTACAAATGCCTATCATTTGCTGTTAAAAAGTATGCGAGAATGTATTTGATAGAGTGATAATAAAAAATAGTTTTCTGTTCAGACATTGATTGAAGAGAACCTATTTTCATATATCTCTGAGCTGTTTTTACATTTTGCAGCAACATAGTTTGTCACAGTAATGCTCTGGGGTTCACTGTTAACCTAAATCCTGTGATGGGTAAGAATAAATGGGATGTTTAAAAGTTGTATGTAAAGCAGATATATTTATGGAACTTTTTAGGAAGGTATTAGGGGATCTGTTAGCATCACATTAAAGATTACAGAAAGTCCGTTGAACCAGTGGAAGTCCATACTCAGCCAGGTGAGTCTCGTGGGAACAGACAGAATGCATGTGTTTGGTGTTCTCTGATGCAAACACCCTTGTAGCCAGAGGCAGGGTATGAGGATAGTAGCGAGCTTGGTCGAGGGAGCAGATTTGGGGGTAGACTTACTAGCCACTTACTAGCTGTGTGATCTTTATGAACTTTTTTCTGTGCCTCATCCTGCTTATCTGTATGAAAGGGAATAGTGCCTGACTCATAGGGTTGTTGTGGGATTGAGGGCATTAGTGTGAAAGGTTTGTGGAGCACATCCTTTCACACAGCACATAGTGTATTCACTAATCATTAGCTTTTCTTTCATTACCTCTCTCTGAGTTACCGTGAGTAAAGCTAATCAGGGCAAGTATTAGTTTTAGAAAATAAAGTTATTACTAAGTTTTTTGATGGCTTTGAAATGAATTAACTAAAAATGTAAAAATAGATGCTTCAAAAATCTGTAGTGCCAATCGACTACCCAGAACATTTTTTCCAAAATTTTAGGTGGATTCTTAGCTGGTTAAAGAACTCCATACAGGGCCGAGCCCATGGCGCACTCGGGAGAGTGCGGCGCTGGGAGTGCAGCAGCGCTCCTGCCGCGGGTTCGGATCCTATGTAGGGATGACCGGTGCGCTCACAGCGCTCACTGGCTGAGCACGGTGCCGCAAAAAGAACTCCATACAAAGGTATGGAACAGAGGCTGGTGTCATGTGTCAGCTGTAGGCCACGTGTTTTGTAGAACTATTTAATTGTAACTTAGAGATAGATTTAGTGGTATGCAAAAGGACTGCTGAACCATTAACTCTGACTTGGCTGAAGAAAAGGCATGCATATGAAACGTGTAGGCAATAGGAAAAGATATTTACTGTTGTAGATGATTAAAAGAATATACATGTTAGAAAACAACTTGATAGGTTGAAGTTATAGGATGCAAATAAATGAAATTTGTGCACATGGTATTTGGTTTAAAAAAATATTCAAAAATCAGTTAAGATTGCTGCAAATGTAGTAAGCAAAATGTTATTTTAGGCATAGGCTTAGGCCTATATAAGGCTTATGCAAATAGATGAAATACCTTGCGTAAAATGGGAAAAGCACTTGAAAAAAGGGGAAGTTCCAGCGGTTAAGCTTCAAAGAAACACCTATTAAAACAGTTAACTATTGTTCTTTAGGCGTATCAAAGATTACAAGGCATTTAATGGTTGGCGTATTACCTGATGGGGTGAGAGTCAGTATAATGTTCAGGTAGGAATAAAACTGATACAAAGCAGTTTGGCATTATATGAAGAGCCTTAGAATAATCATGCCTTAGAGCCCATTAACTCTACCTCTTCAGTAGAGGGGGAAAAAACCCAAGTATACTTATTTTATGCGCAGTGAGAATAGCGAAATTGGAAGCAGTGATAGGAGAAAATGGTAATGAAAATAGTCTTTGGTTATTGAGCACTTTGGCCAGTCACATGCTGGGAAGTTGGTCATCTCCTGCAATCCTTAAGACAGCTCCCTGAGGTAGGTGTTGCAGATTAATTAATTAATTTGCCTGGGAAATGGGAGAACTGCAGTTTAAACTGGGAACATCCACTCCACTGGATGGAATGTTATTTTTTTTCTATGAGTTTTATTTAATAACACAGGGAAACATTTGTTATGATTTTAGGTAGAGAAAAAGAGTGTGTATGTTTTTCTCACAAGCAAAAATGTGAGTTTGGGGAAAGGGAAGTGTTTACTTTTCACGTTCAAACACTCATTTACTATTGATTTCATTTGACTGTCATATGTTTTTTATTTTTATTTTATTTTATTTTTTTGACCAGTAAGGGGATCGCAACCCTCGGCACGGTGTGGTGTGCACCACGCTCAGCCAGTGAGGGCACCGGCCATCCCTATATAGGATCCGAACCTGCATCCTTGGCGCTCCCAGCGCCTCACTCTCCCGAGTGAACCACGGGGCCGGCCCTGTCATATGTTTTTTAAAGTTATATAACTTGTTTAAAATAAAAATACAAGACTGATACAAAGCAATGGTTTTTCCATTGCATTTCTACATTTTCAAAATGAACATTTTTTAAATGGAGAAAAAATAGTGCACATCTAGCTGAATTTCATTGTGTATAAAAAAACACAAGAGTTTTAGTAACTGCAGATTCGTTAATGGATGCGAAATATTCAGGAGAAATAGCTCTACCGCATTCTGTATTTCAGCCACGTGAAGCACCACGGCAGAGTCTTTGCCGCCCGTGGTGTGAGCCACTTTGGCAGAGTAGAGCTCTTCCAGAGGAGAGAGACTGAGGGCTCCGGAGTTAAAGCTGGAGGAAAGCAGACTTGCCAAATGCTGCGTTAGCACTTTCTCTCATAACTACCCAAACTGGATGTGCCAGGTTTCAAGGAGCGACACTGCCTCCCAGTAAGAGGTTGGACTAGACCACCTGTGGAGGCAGGACCACTTGAACACAGGATGATATAATTAAGTCCATACTTGTTACATTTCCCTCTGTGTAACAGATGAAAAAAGAAAGGATTACTCAAGGCAGCATGAATGCCATGAGAGGCCCAAAGTGACTGCCTTTCAGCAACTCCCCTGTTAGGAAGAGAAAGCTGAATGTGACAGCCCTGATTCAAAGTTAGCTTCTCTTTTTTATTGTAAAGACAAGAAAATTTCACCAGAAAAATCAGTTGATTCAATCATCAAAGAAAGACATAAAAACAAAGGCAGTGTAAAACTAGTAATAGCAGTAAAATTAACAGTGTGACATTCCAGAATGCAATTTGTAAAAAGCTAAGTCCATCCACCAACAAACAGCTTGCCCTTAGCAAACATTTTCTTTTTTGACATTTTTCCCTATAGCAATTTCCTCAGCATATCTTAACAACAATTAGTAGGTTAAACAGTCAATAGTCCTTCGAGCTGGAATTGAACCAGCAACCTAAAATAGTCAAAGTACACAATCCCATCCCTAAACAGTGATTAGAATTAATTAGATGGGCTTTTGCTGAGTTATCTGTGGACTTTTGTCCCCTAACCAAGAGCTTTAGCTCCATTCATGTATTTACCTAAAAATCCTATTCTAAGATCAAAGGAGAATCGAGATTTCTAACCTAGTACACATACTGTTCAGAAACACATTTTTTTTTTCCTTTTTGTCTTTTTTTCGTGACCGGTAACGGAATTGCAACCCTCGGTGTCGCGCCCGCACCACGCTCAACCAGTGAGCGGACCGGTCTCTATATGGGATCTGAACCCTCGGCAGGAGCACCGCCGCGCTCCCAAGTGCTGCACTCTACCGAGTGTGCCACCGGGCCGGCCCAGAAACACATTTTTTAATGATGGTGATATGTTCCTTGAGTTTTGAAATACCTGTTTATTGTTAAAGTTCATTCATTCAATAAATATTTACCTAGTGCCTGCTGTATGTCAGACACTGTTTGGTTCTGTGGACATATGAGCAGAGATGACAGACATTATCCCTACCCTTGTGAGGCTTCCAATTAATAACTTACATAGCAAGGAAGAAGAAAATTAAGTACTGTGGTGTCACTTGTTGTGGTTTATTTTACTGGATGACCCACAATTTTCTTACACATTGTTGAAGAAAGGGGGGAATATGACCCTTTTGAAAAGTCTTACAATAAAACCAGCATTTACAGTGTGAAAATTGCATGAAATCATTGTGTTAGGATAGTTGAATGTCCTCATTTACAGAATGAGGATAGATGAGATATTTTAATCACTTTTAAGAGGAAGTGGCTTCTCATGTCAATTTTTGCTTTAACTTGGGAGATTAGGGGTTCTAGGAACCAGTTTGTTAAAAATTCACATTGAACCTGGGCTTTCATTGAATTGGCATTTAATGCTTTAGGAAGCAGAATTTTTTCTTGTGTTTGGTTATTCTATAATGTTAATGTTTATCATTTTTAGTGTGAAGTAATAGAAGATAGTATCTCTGCTTATTGAAATTTAGATGCAGGCAGAACCTTAAATTTTGGCCTGTTAACTTTTGCCAGGAAATCACAGAACTGTTCTGCTGAAAAATATGTGGCTGCTTTTACATAGTCCCCATGATCAAGAGTACTCTCCATGACTGTGAAAATAACACTTCCAGCAAAGGCTCTTGGACGTTTGCTCAGCTGATGCTACTCGCACTCACCTCTTTCTGTCGCGCAGATGCCATTTCTTATGTCACCAGTAGAAGAGGGGAGTGGGTGGCCAGGAGAGACACACCACCTCCTGCTTCAGTGCCTGCCTCCTTTGGCCCCTTCCCTCTCTGTGTGGGAACCAGGCCTCCCACGAGGATTGTCCACACTTAACGCCTTTGTTCTTCAGACCTCCACTATCACAGTGACCTTCCAGGAGTGAGTCACAGGCACTTTTCAATCCTTGTCTGACTTGACCTTTCTCTGGCGCTAAATACAGCTTGTGCCCTGGAGTCTCCTGTCTTGGTTTCTCAGTGTGCCGGTGTCTCCCCCAGCCTTCCCTTTTGTGCCCTTGGCTCTGCAGTGGGTTCTGCGCTGACTCCAAAGCCTCTCCTGGCATCTTTGCGTCACTGCTGGAGGCAGGTGGCAGCGCTGAGGCAGCTCTCTCCAGCCCGGACTCCTGTGCTCAGCTCCAATCCATGCCACACACCACCTATAGGAACTTTCCTCTGGATGTTCTAGTTCTCTCAAATTTACTATGTACAAAACTGAACTCTTCAACTCTTCTTTACGTAGAGATAAACAGATAGCCCGATTCCTTAAGTGCAAAAGGCCCTGTGTGGTCTGGTCTTGCCTGCATTTCCAGCCTCACCTTCTCCCAGCTCTGCTTCCAGGTGCTGGATCTAGGACTTGGCCACTCCCATTTGTATCTTCCTCTTTACACATGGAATGCTCTTAGCTGATAAATTCCCCGCCCTCCCATGGCCTCTGCCTCTGCCTCTTTTGGGCAGGCTGATTCCTTTCAGACCCAGGCAGTCTCCTCTAGAGGTTGGGCCTCACAGCCAGATGTGGGCTGAATCTCAGCACTGCCACCTCCTCCCCCATGTGGCTTGGCACCTCAGGACCCTTCCAGACCTGAATTCCATCATATGTAAAACATCAGCAAAGTCACTATTTAGGGGTGTTGGAAGAATTAGAACTCATGAGCGAGGGGTGCCTTGCACACAGTGGTTTCTCACATGTTCCTTGAACCAGTCTGGGGAGGTAAGAGGACATTCAGGTTTTTGTCTGTGTGAGCTGGACAGGATGGTTTGCTGCTGTTAGAATTCAGACGGCGTTAGATGGAGTGCACCAGATGGAGTTTGCAGGCAAAAGGAGAAACGTCTTTGTGTCTTTAAACTAGTTGTATTTATTCAGTTGCCCTCTATTAAATGCCCACAAATTTAAGTGGTTTTGTTATTTAATATTTTTTACATATAAGAAAAGGATGATTAAAATTCATTGTGATCTTTTTTCTAACATGCACAATTTATAACCCTGTGTCCTTTATTTTTAGAATAATTTAATATTTGCATGTTGATTCCATAAGTTAATATTTAATGTAATTTTTATTGGTATTTATGTATGTCTGTCCCTTGGCAAGGCATTGTAGGGATAAAAAATGAAATATGACCTCTACTTTTCTAATGCCTGTGGCTATTTTGTCTTCACTTCTGTAGTGAGGTATTTTGCATAGATAATATTTAAAAGGAGCCTTTAAAATGCCATATCCTCCATACCAGAGATCCTATTTTAGGAAATTATCGTCAGGAAATAATGAAGTATGTACACAGATTTAAAGGTAAAAATGTTTACAGGCAAATAATTGATATTAATGAAAAATCTGAGTTATTTATATTCATGAAGAATCAGGGAAAAAGTAGCAGAAGGTAAAATGCTGGCAGAGCCATTTGATGAAGTATGCAGCCATAAAAATTGGGTTTTTGGAAAGTAGATACTTCAAGAAGGTGATTAAAGCTGGATAATTAAAGCTGGATACAAAATATTGTAGTATGAACACTTCAAGAAGGTGATTAAGCTGGATAATTAAAGCTGGATACAAAATATTGTAGTATGAACACATTTTGTTAAAACAGTATAAACAGAATTTTTAATATACCCAGGAAAAAAGATGGGAAAGAATGTAGCAGAAATATTAATAGCAGTTACCTCTGGGTTTTGGAATTGGAGGTGACTTTATTTTATTTATTTTTTTGGTTTTTCTAAATGTTTTCTGATGAACTTGCAGTTAAAGAAAAAATTACAGAAAAAATAAAATTTGTTAAATACGGTAGCATTTGGGTACTGTTTGTTAGTATTTGTGAGTGTTCATACCTAAGTAATTGGGAGGAAATGGGTGGTTGAATTGTTTTAGAGCAATTATTTGATGCTGTCATTAAGTGTTTGCAAAAGTTTGTGTAGAGTATTACTAGATCAGCATGAATAACATGTCTGTGGACATTTTCTGTAGGACCTTCGTAACTTGTTGCTTGAGTAAGGATTAGCTAGTTCCTAAACTGTTCCAAGAAATGGTAAAGTTGGGGTGTCAGCAGCCAAATGGCCAGGGTCCTGAGGGTTTCTTTAGTTAGCTCTACTGGGCTCTACTGGGAAAAAGTTTGAAAATTGTCATTTTATGCACAGATTCTTTTTTGTTTTGTTTTTTAATGTGTTTTTATTGAACGAAAGCCAAGTTGATCTGTTATTTATTTTTTTAATCTCCTTTACTTTTAGGTTAAAAATTTTGCAGTTATTTATCTTGTAGATATCACAGAAGTACCTGACTTCAACAAGATGTATGAGTTGTACGACCCATGTACAGTCATGTTTTTCTTCAGGTATGCTTGTTCTGTTAAAGTTGTTATTCAAGTGGAATATTGTTGGTCTACAATTTTAATGTAGTCAAGATATCTTTAGATTATTTTCTTTAGAGGGAATAAATCTGAATCTTTTAAATAATTTTTGAAGTAACAATTCTGGTTTTAGCATTTACTCATAAACAAGTTACCCCTTTGAAAAAACTTTGCCCAGAAATGTAGATGAATTATAATTAAATGGAAGACATTCATATTGACATTTAAGATACCTTTAAATAGGGCCGGCCCGGTGGCGCACTGGATGGTGCGCCGCTTGGGAAGCGCGGCGGCGCTCCCGTCCGAGGGTTCGGATCCCAAATACAGACCGGCTCCCGCTCGCTGGCTGAGCGAGGCGCGGGAGCAACACCGAGGCTTGCGATCCCGTTGCCGGTCCCCGGTCCGGTTCGGGGGCAACACTGAGGGTTGCGATCCGTTGCCGGACACGGAAAAAAAGACAAAAGACAAGATACCTTTAAATATAATCTGTTGATGAAAAATATCTTTATAATAACCCATTTATTAAATATGATAAATATGATACCAGTGATTTTCAAGTAGTGTCCTTGGGTGATACCTAAAAGGAAAACCTGAACTTGAATCTTGCTTATAAGCACAAGATTACTTTATCAGCTCAAAAGTCTGTTGTGGAGATTTAATTTGGAAAGAAATCACCATTTGATGTTGTTTTTGCTTGTCAACATCTCTTACTGTAGTCACTACAACAGCTGGTAAGAAGCAGAGTGAGCATTAGGCCATACTGTGAAAATAGAACTGTCTTAATTAGTAAGGAGGGTCTGCGTGGTTGGACAGGGTGTGTGTTAGTTTTGTATTCTGTGTTAGCACCCGTATATGAGCTCACAGTCCTGCAGGCAAGACATCCAGGCAGGATCAGCTAGGTTCTCTGTTCAGGGTCTCACAAGGCCAAAATCATGGGCCGGGCGCTCATCTGGAGAGTCAGGGAAGACTCCTCTTGGGCTCATTCATGGTGCTGGTCAAATCCAGGGCTGGTAGTTGCAGGTCTGAGGTCTCTGTTTCCCTGCTTCTATCAGCTGGGGCCACTGCCTGCTTTAGAGGCCCCACCTTCAAGCCCAGCACCGCACATGGGGTCTTTTTCACACGGCCTTGCTCACTTCCAGCTCCACCTGAGAAGACACCTGAGCTTTTAGAGAGTTCATGTGATTAGACTCACTCAAATAATCCAGGATAATCTCATTTTATTTTTCAAATTTATTTATTTATTTATTTATTTATTCTTTTTTTTTTTTTTTTTGTCTTTTTCCGTGTCCGGCAACGGATCGCAACCCTCAGTGTCGCCCCCGTACCGGACCGGGACCGGCAACGGGATTGCGACCCTCGGTGTTGCTCCCGCGCCTCGCTCAGCCAGTGAGCGGGAACCGGTCTGTATGTGGGATCCGAACCCTAAGGCGGGAGCGCCGCCACGCTTCCCAAGCGGCGCACTATCCAGTGCGCCACCGGGCCGGCCCCAAATTTTTTTGTCTTTTTTCCGTGTCCGGCAACGGATTGCAACCCTCAGTGTTGCCCCCGTACCGGGCCGGGGACCGGCAACGGGATTGCAACCCTCAGCGTCGCCCCCATGCCTCGCTCAGCCAGTGAGCGGGAACCGGTCTGTATGTGGGATCCGAACCCTAAGGCGGGAGCGCCGCCACGCTTCCCAAGCGGCGCACTATCCAGTGCGCCACCGGGCCGGCCCCAAATTTATTTATTTTTAAACTGACATATAAAATTACTTGTGTTAGTGTGAGCCCATGGCTCACATGGGAGAGTGTGGTGCTGATAACACCAAGGCCATGGGTTTGGATCCCCTTACTGATCATCTTTAAAAGAAAAAAAAATTATCTGTATTTATCATGTGTAACATGATGTTTTGAACTACGTATACATTGTGGAATGGTTAAATCTAGGTAAGTAATACATTACCTCATGTATTGTGATTTTTGTGGTGGGAACATTTAATATTCACTCTATTTGCATTTTTTAAGAATATATCACCATTAACTGTAGTCACCTTGCTATACAATGGACCTCTTGAACTGATTCCTCCTATCTGACTGTAAATATGTATTCTTTGACCAACATCTCCCCAACCCCCTCTCCCCGCTAACCACCCAGCCTCTAGTAACCACCATTCTACTCTTTACTTCTGTGAGATCAGCTTTTTGAGATTCCAAATGAGTGAGATCATGTGGTGTTTGTCTTTCTGTGTCTGGCTTATTCATTCCACTTAACATAAAGTCTTTGCATTCACCCATGTTGTCGCAAATGGCAGGATTTCCTTCTTTATTGTGGCTGGATAGTATTCCATTGTGTGCATACACCACATTTTCTTCATCCGTTCCTCCACATTCTCCTTGTTTTAAAGTCAGCTGATTAGGAACCTTAGTCACATCTGTGAAATTCCCTCTCACTGGTGTGTATCAGAACCGTAGGCATAAAGTCTCATCATATTAACAGTCTGAGGATTAGGGGAGGAAATCTTGGGGGCACATTTTAGCATTTTGCCTACTGCAGTCTGCCCTCTGGCTCCTGAAGGTTTACATCCCGCTCGTAGCAGGATATGCTCCTCACAATTCCTGGAGATCATCTAAATCAGGTGTGGATGAGGTTCTGCAGGAAGATTCACACACACAGCTTCTGGGGTCCACTCCTCTTTGCCTGTGAACCTGTGAGACAGACAAGTGAGGCCCACCACCCCCAACACAGCGTGGCAGGTGTAGGAAGTGCCTGCTTCAGAAAGGGGGACATGGGAGGAAATAGGGAGACTCTGATGCAGAGACATGAACTCGTGATGCCTCAGGCCTGGGGTCATCCTCTTGGCTCCACACCCTGCCCTCTGGGAGGGGTTCTGCCCCAGATTTTCCTTTTTCATGAAAGGTGTTTGCAGCTGGGTAGTAGATCAGCCTCCTCCTACCTGGTCCTTTCTGTCCCTTGCAGTCCAAATGGCACTATTTCTGGGTGTTGGGGGATGCCCTCCACCAGAAACAATGAGGGGGCGCCCTCAGGCTTCCCGGGGCCTGATGACTGGGAAGACCCAGGAGGCACACCCTTCATCCCTTGTGCCCAAGTACTCTGACCTTTTGACCTCTCCTAGTTTTCTGCAAAAGGTCTAATGGTCATATCCTTGTGTTTTTCTCTGTGCTGCATGTTCAGCAGCCGTTTCTGAATTTCAGCATCTTTTGCCACCAGGAGAGGCTGAGAATCTATTCCTTTTAGCAGTGCATGTACCAGTTTGTCTCTCTCTACTCGTTTTACTGTGAGCAGCAGAAAGAAATCAGGCAGCATCTACCGGACCTCGCCCAGAAATTTCCTATGCTCAGTGTCCACGTTCGTTGCTTACAAGTTCTGCTTTTTTCATAACTGCGGGTCACAATGTCCCTGTCATTCTGCCACCGTGTAACAAGGACCCGCCTTCCTCTGTGTCTCAGGAACAACTTCCTTGCTTTCTTCTGAGCCCTCACTGGCAGCGATTTAGAGCCCATATTTCTGCTCGATCTGTTCAGGGCTGTCTAGGCCTTTTCTTTCATGCTCCTCAAAATTCTTCCAGCGGGAGCAGGGAGGGACATCCTGGGGCTGTGCCTCCCACAGCGTGTGGTGAAGCCACCGTGGGGCTGGGGCTGCAGCTGGAGGCTGCATGGCCCAGCATTGGGGTGGTGGCAGTGTGTGTTCTGTGTATTTTGATATTTTTAGGACCGATGCTGTGCTCAGAAAAGGAGGCAAAATCTCCTTTTACTGTTTCTGTGACCCAGAATACTAACACAAGTATTAGTACTTCATTAATTTATGCACCAAATATATATAATGAGCCCCCACCAGGTTTTATTTTATGGTCTGGTGTGGGGATATAACAGCAGACAAGATAGGTTCCTGCTCTCACGGAACTTCGTCTGATAGAAGAAACAGCTGAGTACATCAGCGAACAGAAGCAGGGAAGAACTGGGGACAGGTGTTTACAGACATTAACGCTGAGGAGGCGTGTCTGAATGAGACAGGGCTGCGGGGGTGTTCAAGAACAGACATGCTCAGTGCATTCCCGCAGAGCAGAGGCCTGAGCACACTGGGCATGGGGACCTGCAGGAGGGAGGGATGACTTGTACGTGGCTGGTGAGAGGGTGAAGAGGGGAGGGCCTGGGTCCCGGGATTCCTGGGCCAGTATGAGGACTTGGAATGCCATCCTGGAAGTGAATGTGTGAAGCAAAAGAGGAATATCAGATTTGTCTTTTGGCTCGCTCTGGTTGCGAGGAGGCCAAATGAGAGACCTCACAGTGAGCACTTCCCATGGTAGAGAGGGTCGAGCCAAATGTGTGATCTTGTGGAACTGAAAAGTTAAATTAGTAAAAATTGATCTTCAACAAAGCAGGAAAAATTCATGCAAGTACAACAAAAGGTTAACCTTTATTTTCGTAAAGTGCACATATAAATTTATAGGAAAAAATATAACATCTCAAAAAGTAAGTATGTAAAGAATTATCTACTTCCCTATTCATAGAAATGCAAAATGTCATTTTCATTTCACAGTTGTAGCGCTTTTAATAAAATTTATGGTAAGTGCTCATAAGAACACTGTGAAAAACTTACACAGTGCTTTTTTCAGGTAAACTGATACAACCCACTGGAAAACAATTTGTCTTTCCAAGTGACTAAAACTGTCCTTTGACCCTTTAATGACCCTTTAGGAAATATTATATGTCCTAAGGAAATACAGAAAACTTGGTGGACAGTGAGTGCACTGCAGTTTTTAAAAATAGCATTTAGGTTGTTTCCAGCTTTCTCCTGAGTCATAGTACAGTCTGTTGATTGTACGTGCCCTTGCCTTAAATGATGTTAACAAGAGGTTGCAACAATGGGAAGATTACGGCATTTTTTCCATAGAATTCTTTTTTACAAACATTTTCAGGAGCGTTGATGCCCTTTTCTCTTTGCAGGAACAAGCACATCATGATTGACCTGGGCACTGGCAATAACAACAAGATTAACTGGGCCATGGAAGACAAGCAGGAGATGGTGGACATAATAGAGACTGTGTATCGCGGAGCCCGCAAGGGCCGTGGCCTGGTCGTGTCCCCCAAGGACTACTCCACGAAGTACAGATACTGAGCCGCGTGGTGCATGCTGTGGAGCTGTTTTCATTTGGGGATGCTTCATACTGTTAAAGCCTTTGGAAAAGTACACGAAGCTCAAGGCTGGAGGACCCTTGAGAGGAGGCTTGCAGCCTCAACCAGATGAAATAAACAAGTTCACAGTAGTGGGAACAGCCTTAACTGTGTTCTTAAGACACTGGATGTATAGGTTACTGATTGCAGTGGTCGAAGGTAACTCTCATCTTTATCCTTGGAGTGAAGTTAAGGTGTTTATCCTCTGAGGCTGTTGTATTTTGCGTACTTGATGAGTTTGCTAGGTTTGCCATAACAGAGTACCACAAACTGAGTGGCTTTGACAACAGACATTTATTGTCTCACGATTCTGGAGGTGGGAAGTCTGAGATCAGAGTGTCGGCAGGGTTGGTTCTCTCTAAGGTTGTGAGGGAGAACCTGTTCTAGGCCTCTTCCCCCAGCTCCTGGAGGTCTGCTGGCAACCCTTGGCATTCCTAGGCTTGTAGATTCTTCAACCCCAATCTCTGCCTTCAAAACATGGCGCTCTTCCTGTAGGTGTGTCTGTCTCCAGATTTCCCCCTTTCATAAGAACACCATTGGGGACCCACCCTATTCATAATAACTAAATACATCTGCAACAACCCTATGCCCCAAAAGGCCACAGTCTGAGGTATGGAGGGTTAGGACTTTAATAGATGGAGTTTGGGTGACAGTTCAACCAATAACAGAATCGGAAGGCTTAATCTTATTCTGGTTTTAAAAACTGATAAAATGTTGATTGCTTGGAGCCTTCCCCTTAAGGAGTAGGAGGGATATTTCTTATTCTTCCTATATTTAAACACACTGTATTTTCTGTAGAAACCATGAACCTTCAATCCATACAGTTAAAAAGTCATTATGGTCTAGGGTTTTTTTTTGCTCCGTCTCTTATCCTAGCAGTGTGCATGGTTGGTTGGGACTGTCCCTGTCACTTCTCAGCACTCTCACAGTGTGAAATGAGAGTCAAGAAGTGGTTCTGAGCATACCCTGGAGCCCTCTGGCTTCAGGCTCAGTCTCTGCCGTTACTGAGTGGCCTTGGGCAGGTTACCTTCCCTGAGTCTCCGTTTTCTCATTTTGTTAGGGGGATAGTGGTGTCTGCCTTGTACACAGTTCTGCTAACCTGGTGCCTAGCAAGCACATCAGTAAAACAGTGCTCACTGCTGCTGTTAAATTGATTTATTGTTAAAACGAGTTCTTCCCAAAAAGTGAAGCTTATTTTATATACACATACAAATGAGTGTGTGCTTTTTAAATGGATTTAAAATTCAAATGCAAATCTGTAGTTTAATCTCTGTAGCATTAATTTTCCCATTTATAAAATAGGGAGTATAGTACCATATCACAGTGAGGGACTGAAGAGTCTGTGTGACTTCAAGTGCCTAGTGCGTAACAGACAGTACTACACTCCTGACATTTCTCCCAAAGAAGTTAACAGCCAGTGCACACGTGAGAGGATGCTCGACCCCACTGCTTATTAAGGAAATGCAAATCAAAACCAGAATGAGATACCACCTCACACCCACTAAGATGGCTAGGTTCAAAAAGATTATCTCAAGTGTTGGCCAGGATGTTGAGAAATTAGAACCCTCATACTCTGCTGGCAGTAATGTTAAAATGGTGGGTCCACTTTGGAAAACAGGCAGGCAGGTCCTCGAAAAGTTAAACGTGGTGTTACCATCTGACCTGGCAGTTTCAATTCTAGAATTGAACATGTATGTCCACATAACAACTTGTACATAGCAGCATTCACGATAACCAAAATGTGGAAACCCAAATGTCCGTCAATGGATGAACAGACAAAGTATGGTACATCCATACAATGGATATTATTCAGTCATAAAAAGAAATGAAATAGTGATACATGCAACAAAATGAGTGATTCTTGAGAACTAGGCTAAGTGAAAGAAAACAGTCACCACATGTTGTATGATTCCATTTATATTAAGTATCGCAAATCCTTCAAGAAAGAAGGTAGATTAGTGGTTATTTAAGACGGAGGGATGGGGGAATAGGGGAGTGGTAGCCAGTGGGTACAGAGTTTCTTTTTTTGAGATGATAGAAATGTTCTAAAATTAATTATGGTGGTGGTTGCACAACTCATACCAAAAATCATTGAGTTGTGGGCCGGCCCGTGGCTCACTCGGTAGAGTGCGGTGCTGATAACACCAAGGCCATGGGTTCGGATCCCATATAGGGATGGCTGGTTCACTCACTGGGTGAGCGTGGTGCTGACAACACCAAGTCAAGGGTTAAGATCCCCTTACCGGTCATCTTTTTTTTAAAAAAAAAAAAAAATCATTGAGTTGTGGGGCGGCCCGTGGCTCACTCGGTAGAGTGCGGTGCTGATAACACCAAGGCCATGGGTTCGGATCCCATATAGGGATGGCTGGTTCACTCACTGGGTGAGCGTGGTGCTGACAACACCAAGTCAAGGGTTAAGATCCCCTTACCGGTCATCTTTTTTTTAAAAAAAAAAAAAAATCATTGAGTTGTGGGGCGGCCCGTGGCTCACTCGGTAGAGTGCGGTGCTGATAACACCAAGGCCATGGGTTCGGATCCCATATAGGGATGGCTGGTTCACTCACTGGGTGAGCGTGGTGCTGACAACACCAAGTCAAGGGTTAAGATCCCCTTACCGGTCATCTTTTTAAAAAAAAAAAAAAAAAATCATTGAGTTGTATATTTTAATGGGGTGAATTGTATGGAATGTGAATTATATCTTACTGATAATAGCTTTATTAGCCCTTACCAGAAAGAGATAAGCAAAGAATTACATTCCACATTTGTATGTTTATTGTACATTCATTGTAAATGTGTTGCATATTGTATTAGTCTGCCAGTGCTGCCATAACAAAATACTGCAGACTGGGTGGCTTAAACAACAGAATTTATTTTCTCATGGTTCTGGAATCTGGAAGTCCAAGATTAAGGCTCCAGGCAGTTTGGTTCCTAGCAAGGGCTCTTGCTGACTTTTGGAGGGCCTTCCCTTGGTGTATGCACACAGAGGAGAAGCTCTTTGGTGTCTCTTAATAAGGACACTAGTCCTGTCGGATTGGGGCCCCATCCTCATGACTTCATTTAACCTTAATTATTTCCTTAGAGGTCCCATCAACAAATAGAGACACACTGAGAGTTAAGGCTTCAACATATTAATTTAGAAGGGACATGAATGTTCAGTCTGTAACATATGAGATGTAATAAGTTCATTCACACTTGATTTTAGTAATATCTCACTGGTGCTTTATGTCTGCAATATACTTGAATTTATAATGATTTGGACTCAGTTTCAATTTTTATCTCATTATTATGTACCTACTGTATATCTTGCCCTGAGCTAAGTGCTTTGTAAGTAATTTTCTCAAATCCTTACATCCACCTACCAGGTAGATACAAGGGCACTTCAAAAAGTTAGTGGAAAAATAGAATTAAAAGATAATACAGACCTTTCCATGAGTTTTTTGAAGAACTCCCTTACTCTGCAGAGAAGGAAACTAAAGCTTAGATTGCCCCAGTGTACAACTAGCTGCAGAGGATGTGAATGCACAGCCCAGATGTGCATGGTTACCAAACCTTGTCTCATCTTCTGTGCTGTGTTGCTTTAATTGGGTTGAAATTAATCAGTGGTTCTCTGTGCTCCTGGTGATTTTTGTTTCCCATCTTCCCAGAATGGCTTTTAGGCAAAGTCCAGGAATGAGTGGTGGCAGCTAACAGAGGCAATAAGCCTAGGAGGTGCACAGTACAGTAAGTAACCAAGTTCCCTAGAGAAACAGGCATGTGTACACAAGGAAATAGGCAAGAATGTTTATTGCAGCATTATTTGGAAACAATATTAGTCAAATAGAAAATGGATAATTCAGAGGACTATTGCACAGCAATTAGGGATTGAATGAGAGCTACACATATTAACAGGTGGATCTCATACTACTAAATGGAAAAGCAAGATGCAGAAGGCCACATACGAGGGTACAACAGAATACCTGAAACTGGTCATTTATACAGGAACGAAATTTATTTCTTGCAGTTTTGGAGGCTGGGAAGTCGATAGTACAGGGAATGCACGTGGTGAGGGCCTTTTTCTACAGTAACTCGAGGTGTCAAATGGAGAGAGAATGGCATGAGCAAGAGAGCTAACCACTCACTCTCCTTATGGAACTGTTACCGACAAGCCAGGCTCGGCTGCCCTCTCGCCTTAAACAAATGACCTGAAAGTCCAAAAGTTGGTGCGAGGATTGGAAGGTTTATTCAGATTACTGGTACTCAACTAAATGTCTAACCAAGCAAACAGAAAAGAGGAGAAGTGGGTCTAGTTTAGCCTAGTCCTAATCGGCAGGGCCAACCTATTCCATTAACAGTAATTGATGAAAGCAGTTCTCCCCACTGTTTTCAGCATAAAGAAGAAAAGTATCAACTAGATTTAAATCAGAAAAACAAAGCATAGCCAGGAGCCCTCCAGGGTTTACCTATACGGAAGTGGATACAATTCAACAAACAGAAGAGGGTTCAGAAAATCAGAGAAAGCTAAAGAGAATAAAGCATTGCCTTGTCAGAATTTAGGCCAGGGACTCCAGGAGAGATCTACCAGCAGCAGAGACATGGGAGCAAAATAGTCCCAGTGGCCACTTGCTTCTTGCACCTAGAGTCCTCTCTGTTGCCCAAAGCTTTCCAATTTTTGCCAGTGATTAAATTAGGCTCTCAGATTCCAAAGTCATAGAAATGAACAATGTACCCAACAGTAAAGCAACCAACGCTTTATTAAAAGAGGAGATAGACATGCATAAGCGGGGTAGCAACAGTAAGGCTGGCCCCCCGAGGGGAGCTGTTTAGGGTCCTTTATAGGGAAAGGAGTTAAGGGGTGGCAGGCCACTGTCACTGGAGGTGGTCCGTTCTGTTCTTCCTGGTTGCGTCATGGGTACGTGCTCAGTAGGCAGTGGTGTTCATCATTGTCACCCCAGGAGGGTCACTGTAGCAGTCACCTTGATGCTTTGTGCGCAGGTGGGAATTCCTAAAGAGGTCTTAAGATTAGTCTCTAACTTTTACAATTATAGTAAACAAGCCTTGGGGAGGGGTTTTGCAACTCAGCAAATATCTGTTTCTTCTCATCTCAGTCTGTCAGGGCAGCCCATGGAGTAATCATTTGCTCTGAGGGGTCTCATGACTGAGGAGTGTAAAGTAACAAAGTGTCCTCTGCAGGGAAAATGGAGTCAGTTGGGTTCACAGGCCTAGCCTTAATCTGTTTCAGAGCCATCAGAACCACAGCCACCATTAAACTGTCAACCCCTTACTCCATGCATGGATCAATCCATGTAGGGAAAGTGAAGGAAAATGGTCAGGGCCCCTCTGATGTTCAGAATCTTGCTAAGCATTTGATGTAAATAGGCACGCGCACCCAAGTGTTCCTTGGTTATTGTCTTAACGTAATTGCACACGTGCAGCCAGGTATCCTGGGTTATGACTTAAGTATAAAGGACGAATGGCACTAATCCACAGTGCCCCCTGTCTGCAGGATGTCCCGGGGGGACGGGGTGCCATGGGGAGGCTGCTACTGCTGCTGGAGGCTTTTGCTGCCAGTGCCCCTGGGATGCCCCGAGAGGCCATTGCCATTGCTGCTTCTGCTGCTGCTACTGCTAAGGACTGAGCTCGTGTCATCTACCAATGGTTCCTGCAATCTTTCCTAACTACCTAGCATGAACCTGCGTGTGAAGGGTTTGAAGGATTTGAACCCTGGCTCCATTGAACCCCGGCTCCGACAATACAATGGAAACTTAGTATAAACCAAAATAGTGAAACATTTTGGCTTTAGTTATGAAATGCCTAGCCATACAATTAGTGTAGCTATTGACTCAACCCAACAACTGGCATAACTCAGGGTAACTAGTTACCCCGTAACTAGTCGTGTATAACCCACTTATGAGGGCACGGTCCTCCCGATCCAACCACCTCTTAAAGGCCCCCCCTTCCACCACCATATTGGGGGTTAATGTCCCACATGACCTTGGGCGACATTCAAACCATAGCAGTCCTTTTAAAAGTTTGTGGAAAATTGAAAGATAATACGAATCCTTCCATAAACTTTTTGAAGACCTGTTGTTCTCATACAGCATGGTGCCATTTACAGAGTTTTAAGATGTTTAAAATAAAGATCTGAAATGTGAAAACACTGGTGTGTGTGTGCAATGGATTGTCACATGTGCATCCTGCCTTGCACTGGGCCCATGCAGAGAAGGGATGAGGACCCCCGGGCACCAGCAGAATCAGAGCATCTACCTTCTAGCCTACTCTAAGAAACCACACCCAAAAATTACAATGCAGGGTAAATTCATGGCTTCACCAGGTTTCTTAGCTGAAAGTTCAGGTGCTGACCAGGAAAGAAAATCAGAAGGGGCACACCTGGGAGGACAGGCCATGTGGTGCCGTCTTGAATAGCCTTCTCTGCATCATTTTCATTAGTGGCTTTTAAAGCGCACCTGATCCTGGTGCTCTCTTCTTATCAAAAGCTATCAGCAGAGTACCAGCAGTGTCCTGATGAGACTGGTTCTGCCCTGAGCAGTCCAGGGCACCTCAGACGGTCTTCCCACAGCCACCATGTCAGACTGCGTCCTCCCTCTGGCCTTCAATCACGTGGTCACAGCTCTCAACATCTCCACAAACAAAAACCGTCATATATAGAACAGTGCAAAGTATTTTGGAACTCTTGAATTTTGTTAATTCCAAACACTCTTTGAGTAGCTCCTGGGTCGCTGGGCACACACTGGTTGCTGCCTCATAGAGGGGCCAGACCAGGGCTCACAGAGGCTCACCTGGCTGCCAGGGCCCAGCAAGCGGAGGGCCAAGGGACCACACAGCAGCACAGCTGACCTGGACGGGGCTCAGGGAAAGTGTCTGAGGAAACTATCTTCAAGCTGAGGTCAGATTTTAAAGGCCTACCTAGGACTGGGGAATTTGGGGGATTAGGTACAGGCAGGGTGGGGGCACAGCCCAGGGCAGCTATGGAACCTTTGACTTGGGAGTGAGGGGGTGACAGGATTGGATTTTAGTTCTGAAAATATCTTTTTGGCCCAGAATAGAAGAGGGTTTGGAGGAGCTAAAGGAGGTTCGAGGAGAAAGCTCACAGTCTATGGTGATAGATCTGGCAAGATACATGGTGGAAGTGATGTTGCATCCGTGTTTACCTGTAACCTGGTTTGCATGTTAAATGAGTATACTCTGATAAAGAGAGGAAGTTAAGTGTGTTTTCACTTAAAATTTGAGCATTTAGAACTTCAGAAAATAGCACCCAGAACTTCTTTCGTGCAGATTCAACCCTTTATTATTAAGCTTTATGCTTTCACAAGTTTCATAACTGTGTTAAATGAGTTTTAAATTATAGGTATATGAATATAGCATTGACATTGAACTAACTCCAGTTTATGTAAGTACTCCATGAATAAACTGCTTTCTGCTCAGATTTTATTTTATTTTATTTTTGTCCTTTTTGAGACCAGCCGCACCGCACCCAGCCAGTGAGCGCTGAGAGCACACTGGTCATCCCTATATAGGATCTGAACCCGCGGTGGGAGCGCTACTGTGCTCCCAGCGCCGCACTCTCCTGAGTGCGCCACGGGCTCGGCCCTCAAATTTTGTATTAATCTACTTTAGCGATATACATCTTTAAATAATCAATATTAAAGCAGAATAAACATATAAATTCATCTATTTCCCTCTTTTCTTTATAGGAGCAGCCAGATGCCTTTTAAATAAAGGTAATCGTGCTGAAAATAGCAATCACTTATAAAAACGTAAGGAAAATATTGAAACAGGTATTGATGTTATATAATGCCAAATGATTTCCTTAAAGGTAGGTGTCCATGGTTTGAGTGAATAGTTGAGATGTTAAATGCCAGGTTATCAGCTTGGAACTTTATTTAGAAAGAAGTTAGTATATATTTGACAGTCTTGGAATTTTTATTTTAGTTAATAACTCATTAAAGTGCTCTTTTCTACTTAATTTCTGTAAAGTACTGGGTTTATAAAGTGTGTTCTATGGATTCAAATCTGCTTGGTTTATTTCAACTCAAATATCCACTGTAGTTTCTACTAAAATTATATTTTGATTTAGGATGCTTTGAGATTTTTCACATAATCAAATGGAAGTATAATTTTTTTTTTTTTTTTTTTTTTTTTTTTTTTTTTTTTTTTTCCGTGTCCGGCAACGGATCGCAACCCTCAGTGTTGCCCCCGTACCGGACCGGGGACCAGCAACGGGATCGCAACCCTCGGTGTTGCTCCCGCGCCTCGCTCAGCCAGTGAGCGGGAACCGGTCTGTATGTGGGATCCGAACCCTCGGGCGGGAGCGCCGCCGTGCTTCCCAAGCGGCGCACTATCCAGTGTGCCACCGGGCCGGCCCCGAAGTATCATAATTTTAAACTACCAAGAATACAGAATTTAAGTGATGCAATTTTAAAGCTTTCGACTAGACAGGCATGCACCACTGTTGGAGTATCAAGGGGAGCTTCCCTTCTTGGATGCATTTGGCTTGGTTTTTAGGGTGGTTCTTTTTTTTTTCTTTTTTTTTTTTTTTTTTTTTTTTTTTTTTGTAGGCTGGCTGTACAGGGATCCGAACCCATGACCTTGTGCCTTGCAGTGATAAGGCTGTGCTCTAACCAACTGAACTACCTATCTCATACCCTAATGAAATAAGCACAAATTCATGGATAACTGAATTATGGCGTTATTTATAATAGTATGGAAGGGGGAAACAACGTCAATGTCCAAGAAAATAGTTAACCTGTAACCTAAAGTGCTTGTTACAGCCATGATAGAATACTAGGAAGCCAAAGAAAAAAAGTGTGCACAAAATTTTCACATGGGAAAAATGTTTATGATAGGAAAAGAGAGCAGGATATTAGATTATAAGCAATATGATCAACTGTGAGAATTGTATGCATAAAGAAAAGTTTAAGAGTTGTTCATTGGTGGCAGAATTACAGGTGATTTTGAGTTTTGTATGAAGAATATGATTTGTAATACACAGGAATAATGTTATTTTTTTTGAATGAGAGACTATAACTGACCTCTTTTTTAGAAGATAATAGCTCTATATTACTTTGGCTCGAAGAGAAGGAGTGATTATTTGAAAGGTTCTCTATATAACCTACAAAACGAGCTTAAGTTTCATCTTGGTGCCTTTCTTTAGTAATTACTTCTACGGAGTGGAGTGGAGTGAAGGGCGACCTCAGGACTCAGGACACCTCTGTGGGAGAAAAAATGAGCTCAAAGGTAAGATATGGAAGGTAACCTGGTTCAATCACCTCTTCTCTTGTTTATTCAGTGCGGTTTGATTTGGTTTGGAGTTTTGGGGTCTTATTTAGTTTGGAGAACAACTGCTGTCAGAATCTCCTTTCACTGGACACATTAAAATGAGTCTTTCCAAAATGCATGTGGCTAAGAATAGTTGGAATGCAGTTATTTAAAGCTTCCATCAGAAAAATTCTTATGATCTTTTTGAAAAAGATCTATATATAACTCAAATTTGGAAAAAGTTGAACTAATCAAGTTATGCTTTTCTTCCTTGATTTATAAATATCAGGCATGCATTGAAAAATATTTTGCCATTGTTTCCAACCATCTTTGGTAAGTAGCTAATCACCTTCTGAATTATATTCCTATTTCATTGCCTTTGTTCTTTTAATCAAAAGACAAAATAAAAATGAATTTTTTTTTTTTTTTTTTTTAAAGATGACCGGTAAGGGGATCTTAACCCTTGGCTTGGTGTTGTCAGCACCATGCTCAGCCAGTGAGCGAACCGGCCATCCCTATATAGGATCCGAACCCATGGCCTTTGTGTTATTAGCACCGCACTCTCCCGAGTGAGCCACAGGCTGGCCCTAAAATGAATTTTTAAATACTGGAAATTGGAATTCATGTTACATAGATTATAACTCAAAAAGTACAGTTTTCATATCATCAGTTTCAAGTGACTTGTCCAATAACATCTTCAGGTCTGTAAGAAAAAATTTTGAAAGAGGTAAAGGTTGATTTATATACCAATTAATGTACGGTTAAATAAACTCAAATCCAAAGTTTTCAATAAAGTATCTTAATTTCCAGTAATTTTCAAAACAGTTTTGTATAAAATTCAGTATGCAGAAAAACATAAATGTTAAATGATGTTCGTTTTAATCAGATCGGAGTCAGTGTGGCTTCATAGCTCAAAATGAACAGCATGTACTCTTCAAACAAGAAAACATTACTACTCTATCAATATGCCATTGCTGTGACTAATCACTGAGACCATCCAGGAAAACATACTTTTTCAATAATATGCTGTCCATCTGTATTTTAAATAGATGCAGAACATGTGTTACAGATATTAATGGCAGCACTGATAAAATGCCAAATCTATCAAGGTATAGAGCAGTTTTTAACATTTGGGGATCATGGGCCCTCCTCCTCAACAGGAACACAATTCTAGGGGTTTGCAGAATCTCCTGAAATCCATAGCTTAAGTGCTATGTTAAGAACCCCAGACCCACCACAACCAACATAGATTGATCCCAACAATTAAAACTTACTTCGGTTTTTCTTTTCATTTAAAAGGCATTATCAGCTTCTAAATAAACTTTTAGATATCTGACCTACTCTCATGCTGCCTTTAATGGTTGTATGTACATCAAAAAAATGAAGTTTAGACCACTACGTAACCATTTAATTTGATGCCCAATATTTAGTGGGTTTTTGATCTAATTTAAAACAGCCACCTGGAGCCTGGGCAGTTTATCCTCATACTGAGAGTTACTGGACCACCACTTGTGCCTAAGCTTTGGGTCCCTGCCCTTGGGTCCTGAGCTCTTGATAGGCTGCCTGGGCCTCAGAGCTGGAATTTCATGGTGGGAGGGTAGAGGGCTTAGAGTCCACACAGTCTGGAGAAGACAGAGAGGCTGGCTGGTAGATCTTTAATGGGTAAAGCTATGTTTTTCACTCTGCAGTCAGAATTTCAGAGCCCCCACCCCAATGTTTTGCAGCTCTTATGTAGAAGGGCACAGGTTACAGTGATCTTATTTACCGGATTACCAGACTTAGATATGAATGAGTCACTGATGGGTAAACCCAGCTCTGATTTAGCAGGATAAATAGGGATAACTTGCCCACTGACTTAGAATGACAATTGTCGGTAAATAAAGAAAGGCATTTAAATTGTTCAATTAAAACATGCTCATATATTCAAAATAGTAGGTCAATAATACACACAAGTCTTTTAATAAAACAATGTATCTCCATGTATGTCACATGGACATAAATCCAGTCTGAGACCTGAAGCCAAGCATTCATTTGCATCTTGAAGACTAAATGTAAAATCCCACGAGAAAGGGAATGTTTTTACTATAGGGGGCCCAGAGTGGGATCCTCAGAACCACTCATGCAATGTGTTGAGGGGTTAATGTACATGTGACTTCTTTCTTTTCAATTTTTTTACAGCTAAGTTTGCATCTATACAGATGACATCTTTTTTTTTTTTTCCTTTTTGTCTTTTTTCGTGACTGGTAACGTAACGGGATCACAACCCTCAGTGTCGCGCCGGCACCGCGACAGGCAACGGGATCGCAACCCTTGGTGTCGCGCCCGCACCACGCTCAACCAGTGAGCGGACCGGTCTCTACATGGGATCCGAACCCTCGGCGGGAGCGCCGCCGCACTCTACCGAGTGCGCCACCGGGCCGGCCCAGATGACATCTTTAAATGGTTACAAGAATGTATTATTTCAAACAGAAACTGCTAGGTATTATTATTATTATTATTATTATTTTATTTTATTTTATTTTTGTCCTTTTTTGAGACCAGCCGCACTGTGCTCAGCCAGTGAGCGCTGTGAGCGCACCGGTCATCCCTATATAGGATCCGAACCCGCGGCGGGAGCGCTGCTGTGCTCCCAGTGCCGCACTCTCCTGAGTGCGCCACGGGCTCGGCCCAGAAACTGCTAGTTATAATCCCTAATCTCTAATTCATTGTGATCTGTGTTTTGATTCAAAACTGACTTAAGGAGTAGAGGTAAAAAGTATTCTAAGAAAATCCTATTTTTAAATAATAGAATTTTTCATTTAAAATGTGCACTTTTAAAGGAATGATGACAAAGAGTGTTTTTGTTTTGTTTTGTTTTTTTGGTTGCTGGCAGGTATAGGGATCGAACCCTGAACCTTGGTGTTATCAGCACCACGCTTTAACCAACAGAGTTAACCAGCCAGCGCCCAAAGAGTGTTTTAGTTGGTCTATTTAGAAAAGAGCATTTGTGGGCCGGCCCGGTGGCGCACTGGATAAGTGAGCCGCTTGGGAAGCGCGGCGGCACTCCCACCCGAGGGTTCGGATCCCACATACAGACCGGTTCCCGCTCACTGGCTGAGCGAGGTGCGGGCACAGCGCCGAGGGTTGCAATCCCGTTGCCGGTCCCCGGTCCGGTGAGGGGGCAACACTGAGGGTTACGATCCGTTGCCGGACACGGAAAAAGACAAAAAAGACAAAAAAAAAAAAAAAAAAAAAAAAAAAAAAAAAAAAGAAAAGAGCATTTGAAAATCTTTTATTATTATTCCTAGAGGTTTTCCATGTAGTACAGAGACAGTAATTCTCATAGTGAACAAATATGGGATTGTATTTTTCATGATGAAAGCAGTCAAAAGATATGCAAATGGTAAACAGTTTCCTAATAATGACCTTACCATTTGTTCTTTAATAGAATCTTCAATCCCAGCTTGCACCATTAGGTCATTTACATTCTTCTGTAAGTCCTCAATACGACTTCCCATTTCTTCCAGTACAACATTAAGGAGGACTGCACATGTAGAAAGAACAAGGAGCTAGCCAAAAATGCCCCCCCAAAGACCCTGCTTCAAACTGTACCTGCTCATCACAGATACTCATGCAAATGCCACGGCAGAGGCAATTTTTTTTTTTTTTTTTTTGTCTTTTTCCGTGTCCGGCAACGGATCGCAACCCTCAGTGTCGCCCCCGTACCGGACCGGGACCGGCAACGGGATCGCAACCCTCGGTGTTGCCCCCGCGCCTCGCTCAGCCAGTGAGCGGGAACCGGTCTGTATGTGGGATCCGAACCCTCGGGTGGGAGCGCCGCCGCGCTTCCTAAGTGGCGCACTATCCAGTGCGCCACCGGGCCGGCCCGAAAGGCAATTTTTTAAATGAGGGAATCCAAGTCAATGTTAATGTCACTGCAAATTGGCTACTTGCCCTGACTTTTCCTCTGTGTGCATCTTTTTCTTTTTTGGAGGGCAGGTCCAGGGATCTGAACCCTTGACCTTGATGTTATCAGCATCATGCTCTCCCAAGTGAGCTAACCAGCCAGCGCTTCCTGTGTACCTTTATCTTTCAAACTGTGAGTTATTTTGAAACTGGGCTCCCCTTGCTAGGACATGGGTTTGGGGATAGGAGGTTGTCTGATATGTTTTATTTTATTATTACTATTATTTTTTTTTTAAAAGATGACCGGTAAGGGGATCTTAACCCTTGACTTGGTGTTGTCAGCACCATGCTCACCCAGTGAGCTAACCGGCCATCCCTATATGGGATCCAAACCCATGGCCTTGGTGTTATCAGCACTGCACTCCCGAATGAGCCACGGGCGGCCCCTGATATGTTTTAGACAAACTCTGAGTATGTAAATATAATGGAAATTAACTCTTTTTAAAAAACAACTTTTCCTACGTTTGAGAATCACTTTTGCCCTGTCGGAACCCATCTACAAAATAAAAAGTTGCAAGGAAATGGTTCCATATGCACAGACTTTGCACACAGTTTTTGAGGACGCATACAATTGTGTGAAGTGAGCCGGAATTGGGCAAGTCTTACGGCCAACTGGATTTGCTCAAACTGGAAACCAACATTCTATCCCAATTCCGCCTGACTTTATGTGTCTGACAAAATGGTGGGCTGCTGACAGTAGGGGAGAGCCGCATCTGCAGTGTCCCTGTGTTGGAGACCTTCAGCATCGCGTTCTGCGGTTTCTGATTGCTTGTGAGCGTTCATGTTTAGAGCAGACTGTCTGGTTAGGGCTGATGGAAAAGCCCCAGTGGCTAGTGATGCGCCTTTGTGTTGCTGGTACTTGCCATACAGAATGTCCTGTACTGCTGGTCAAGCAGGAAGTAAAACCTGCTACAGGTGAATGGTAATTATGTCTAATAAAAGCGCAGATGCAAATACTGTACGGAGAAATCCTAAGTAGACGATTATGTACTAACATCAGACAACAAAACGATATTCCATAATAATCTAATAGTCCAAAAGTATTACAGTATTCGTTAAAGACAGAAAAGGATATTTCTGAGGTTTAATGTTGCAGTCAGAGCTTGAAAATGTTCTTGAAGCTCCTGAAGTAGATTTTCTGCCTGAAAAAAATGAACCATAAGTGTAATATTTACTATTGGTGTAGGACATTTTAAATGTCATGGAATAGACCCCTCCATATGTGGTCCGCTGAGTTTTGACAATGGTGCCTGGCCTTCACGTTCAAAGGGAAAGGAGAATCTTTCCAACAAGCAGAGCTAGAACAACGAGATGGCTGTGCAGTCAGGCAGCAGCCACCTGTCCTCACACCCACACCCCAGCTCAATTGTCACACCCTAGACGCGAGCGCTGACGCTGTGAAAGGTCTAGACGCTCACAAAGGGGGATCCTAGTGACCCCGGGTTCCTCAAGGGTCCTAAGATGAACAGGAAGTCACCCACAGCCTGTCCAGGCGTGCACGTCTCCTCCGCGCTTTTGGGCAATTTTTAGCTGGTCCTGGAATCGCAGACCTTGATTATCAGGCCACAGAAGTTCCCATCATCTAGAATCGCGCTTCGCATTCGCAGGCTACCCTGTCGCCTGTCCCGGTCGAGAGGCCGGGCTGTCCCGGACGCCGGAGGACGGAGCCCGCGGCAGCGCCTCCGGCACCGGCCCCGCCCCGCGCGCGACACCGGCGACACCGGCGACTCCTCTCCCGGAGACGCGCGCATCGCCCGGACCCCATGCGCCTGGACACTCACCGCGCTCCGCAGCGCCGCACCGGGGGCCTCGCGTCCGCGGGTGTCCATGGGGAACCGGGTCGCCGCGGGGGGCGGCGAGGGCGCGCGGGG